CCGCCCTGGCCGCAAAGAAAACAAAACAAGAGGGAAAGAAATGTGTGCTCCGCCCCACAGGCCCTCGTCGCACGCCCACACGTCACGGCTCCCTCAGCGCGCCGTTCGTCGCGGCCCCTCCTCATGCGTGCAGCAGGCGAGGCGCACAGGGCCGTCGCCACGAGCGTGTCGGTGGGTGTGCGAGTGGAGCAGTTGGGCGGGAAACACACGGCACCCCTCACAGGAAGAGTGCAGCAAAAAAAACAAATAAAAGAGGGAAAAGTAGAAAAGAAAAAAGAACGTCCATATAGATTGCCCCCAAAAGCAAAAAAGAGGGTGGGGGATGAAAGATTAGAAATAAAAAAACGCCCAAAGTAAAAGCAACAAACAAACAAAAAAAAAGAATAAATAAATAAAGAAAAATAAAAGAATCTTGCAGCAAATAGAAATTAAACTAAAACATTTACCAAAAAACGGTACAAAACGGTTACAGCGCTCCGCCCATGCAACCAGGCAGGACGGCGGCGGTGCGTGTGGTGCAAAAGAGAGAGCACCAACGGGCCTGCATGGGTGTGCATTCATATATACAATGGGCACATTATGTGTGTGCTTCGTGGGATGAGGTGAGGGCGAGAGTCCATGCAAGGAGACACACACAGAGAGAGAGAAGGACGAGTGTGTGTGCGGGCGGTGCACGGCTCTCTCTCCCTCACTCTCACGCGGCCACCACCGCAGCCGCAGCCGCACACGCAACAATAAGAAGCAAAAGAGGGGAGGTGGTGTGGGAGGCCGCGGTGCTGCCGTCACTGTCGCCAGTCGTCGTCGTGACAGTTTTCATACCCGCAACATGGAGTGTTGTTTCATTGGGATTATTATCTTTATTCTCATCCGTTTTTCCTTCTGTTCCTGCGACATCTGATTCATTTGTATTGTTCGGAATATTTTCTCCAGTGCCCTTTTCCGTTTTGTTGTTAGCATTATCACTGGCATCCGGGGGTGTTGTTGTGGTTGATTCGGCCTGACCGTTAGATGCTTCATTATGGTCGGTGTCTGCGATAGGGACAATGCCCCCTTCTGCCGAATCTTTGGTTGGCTCCATGCTCACCGAGCCTTCCTCTGAATTTGGCACACGCACGTCCTTTGCCTTGTCGGGTGATCCTTCCACTGGCGGTGATGCTGGTAGTCCTGTTGGTTTTGGGTCCAAATCCTCCGGTGGTGCGCCCGGTGCCTCTTCCGATTGTTTTCTCAATTCTTCTTCGTTTCCCAGTCCTTCTGGAACCGATACTCCCACTGTAGCTCCCGTACCAGGCGACGGTTCGGTCTGCGGTTTTGGGCATTTATCGGCATCATTTGGTTTTCCAGCGTACTCTTTGCAAATACCCCCAACTTGAGAGTCCTCAGTTTCCTTGAGAATCTTACCGTAGACATCGTTGCAAAGCTCCCTCATCGCATGATGTACACAACAGTTCACAGCTGACTCATTCAACTTCCCGTCCGTCTTACTCGTATTGTCCGTCTCGCATTCGGACTTCAGCAGTTTCTGCCAATTTGAAAGCAATTTCTCACCCGCACTGCCAGCATCATCGGCCGCACCACCGCCGGCACCGCACCACAGCACGCAGAGGGCACACACCAGCAGCGCACGGCCAGTCATCATCATCGCCATCACTCCTGTCACTTGCGTGTAGCCTCCAGCACAAACTAACTCCCCGCCAACGCAGAGTGAAAGCAAAAAGAGAGAGAGACAAGTCACACAACCCCGCACAGCCAGCAACGCACACACCGCAAGACAGAGGGAATCACTACGATTGCAGAACTCGCACACCCTCCCGCACAACAAAGCCTACAAAAAAAACATAACAAAAGGAAGTTGACACTCCGACAAGACTTAAACAAAACAAAAAAAAACATGAAAATCGATCCAGTAAGAATTTTATTTCATGCGCCAGGTAGCAAAAGAACAGCGTGTCTTCGTGTACACATATTTCCCACACCAACTGAACTAAAAAAGGATCGTACTGTTCCACCAGCCCACACAACATCCCTCACATTACATTGCGGCATCCGGCCTGTTCCTCCAATCCTCCTTTTGTGCAGTCCGGGGGACGCACAGCAATGAGGCCGGCACCGCGTGTGGGCAACAAACAACAAAACAAGTGAGAGAAACACGTCGCTCATGACAGTGTGCAGCAACTGGCCATTAAATAAAAAAGGGTGCTTATCATTCCAGGAAGACAGCAGCTAAATTAACAGTAAAATGTAAATAATAAAAGGAAACACGCAGGGAACGCAGCACATGTTCTCCGTGAGGAGTCGCAATTCCACACTCTTCGGCTCACAAGACCGCCACAACTCCACACAATCCCAAAAGAAGCAGCAACGCCCAATACACGCACACACGCACAGTGCTGTCAACAGTTAACTCTCGCAGTGTCAATTTCGCGTCGTTGAGCAGGGCAAAGCAGTCGTCGGGACACACACCGTTTCCGGAATACTGCGCGGTGAGTTTTTGTAATTGGAGTTTTCGTGTCCAGAGGCATTGCGTTCACTCAGTCCGTCCGCATCAGCCTCAGCAACAAATCCACTGCCTGCAACGCCATTTTCTAAAGAAAGGAGTTTTGTGTCCGGTGGCGTTGCGCTCACTCACCTCGTCCGTGTTATCCGCAGCAACGTGTTCCCTGCCGCCATAAGTGACAGACATGATCCCGGATGCATTCAGCGCCACTAATATTCTCGGACCGTTGGCAAAGGAAGGCCTCTTCTTGGATGCATTCGGGACCATCACTTCGTTCGGATTGCTGGCAAACTCAGGCCTCGTCTCGGACGTGTTGGTCGCCGTGTTGGATGCGGGACTCCGATCGACGGTGTTGGGTCCGTCAGCCGCCGCAGACTGTCGCCAATCCTCGTGCTGACGTGACGGCTCAGCATTAACTTGCGGCGCAGTTGTCCCACCAGATTTTGTGTCGTCCTTCCCTTCACGGCGTGGCGGCAACTGAAAGATGCCCGTCCGGTCAGCATCGCTGCTCCGTGCAGGCAGATGGATGGTTCCATCGGGAGAAAATTGACGCCACCACAATTCATAAGGGCCGGCGTATTTATGTGACGTCACATTCATCGTGCAGGCAACGGTGGCCCCTTCCTCTTTCGTTGCACAGCTGGCAGCACAGTTGCTACATGTGTGCATCGCATTGGCCTCATGAAACACAGCACCCAGCTCACCATTCCTGCCATGCATGTGCACACCAAAGCCACTGAAAGTATAATTCTCATGCTGAGCCTCAGCACTGGCAGCGGAACACTTCTTCCACGCACACACACACACACACGCGGTAGCTCAGGCTGCCATCACTCGGAGCACACGACACATCCGCCGCGCGCATCACACCCGCAGAAAAGGAGACTCGGGCTGCGCGCTTCCTCTATCCTCCTTCCTTCTCTTCATGCCACGGAAGAAGAGAACAGGCGCCACCCGCAACCGCCAGCACACGCTACAAAAGAAGCATCCAAATCGAATGAAATGTGCATTTTGTGCGTGCATGTGGTTGTGTGTGCCTGCAGACACACGAAGCAAAGAAGTAAAAACAGGAGCGGAGCATGTGAAGGGACGCACAAACAAAAAAGCACAGCAGAGGTGCATAGCAGAAATAAAGAGAAAAAGACTGCTCAGGCTCACAATATTGCACTGCAGCCCAAGCAGCGGCAATTCATTAAAAAATTAATAAAAATAAATAAAAAAAAATTCATCTTCACCCTTCCACACCACACACTTTGGAAAAAACAAAAAATGAAAATAATGGAAAAAAAAAAATGAAAAAAAGTAGTCCACTACTAAGGCTACACCCAAATAAAATAAAAAAGAAAAAGAAAAAACACACACAAAAAGCACCTAACTACCACGTTGCTCCAGAAATTGTCTGCATACATTTTGTCCGCAAAATAAAAATTAAAAGATATTTAAATGCATTTCAACCGTCTGGCCCTCCATGTGTCCGCACATCGTTTATATTTCACGGGATCATCTGCGTGTTGCTGCTCCCCTCAGCCCTCTCATCGGCGCGTGAGTGCGGCCCGCAGAGCACAGTCACTCTTCTTGAGTGCATGGGGACTGAGAGAAGCACGCAGACATGACGGCGGTCGCGTCACTCCATCGGGAGAGTGAGCGCAGCAAAAGAAAAAATCATCAGAAGGGGAAAATAAATGCTCACGAGGCCTACCCCGAAGAGGCTGCCAGCGCAAAAAGAAAAAAAAAAAAACAGTGAGAAAGTCAAATAAAGCAAAATTCCTTTTTAGAGCGGCAGGGTGTGGCTGTGTGTGTGGCGCTGCGGGTATCTGCCCGCCCTGGCCACAAAGAAAACAAAACAAGAGGGAAAGAAATGTGTGCTCCGCCCCACAGGCCCTCGTCGCACGCCCACACGTCACGGCTCCCTCAGCGCGCCGTTCGTCGCGGCCCCTCCTCATGCGTGCAGCAGGCGAGGCGCACAGGGCCGTCGCCACGAGCGTGTCGGTGGGTGTGCGAGTGGAGCAGTTGGGCGGGAAACACACGGCACCCCTCACAGGAAGAGTGCAGAAGAAACAATTAAAAGAGGGAAGAGTAGAAAAGAAAAAAGAACGTCCATATTGATTGCCCCCGAAAGCAAAAAAAAAGAGGGTGGGGGATGAAAGATTAGAAATAAAAAAACGCCCAAAGTAAAAGCAACAAACAAACAAAAAAAAATAATAAATAAAGAAAAATAAAAGAATTTTGCGGCAAGTAGAAATTAAACTAAAACATTTACCAAAAAACAGTACAAAACGGTTACAGCGCTCCGCCCATGCAGCCAGGCGGGACGGCGGCGGTGCGTGTGGTGCAAAAGAGAGCACCAACGGGACTGCATGGGTGTGCATTCATATATACAATGGGCACATTATGTGTGTGCCTCGTGGGGTGAGGTGAGGGCGAGAGTCCATGCAAGGGGACACACACACAGAGTGAGAAAGACGAGTGTGTGTGCGGGCGGTGCACGGCTCTCTCTCACTCACTCTCACGCGGCCACCACCGCAGCCGCAGCCGCACACGCAACAAGAAGAAGAAGCAAAAGAGGGGAGGTGGTGTGGGAGACCGCGGTGCTGCCGTCACTGTCGCCAGGCGTCGTCGTGACAGTTTTCATACCCGCAACATGGAGTGCTGTTTCATTGGGATTATTATCTTTATTCTCATCCGTTTTTCCTTCTGTCCCTGCGACATCTGATTCATTTGTATTGTTCGGAATATTTTCTCCAGTGCCCTTTTCCGTTTTTTTGTTAGCATTATCACTGGCATCCGGGGGTGTTGTTGTGGTTGATTCGGTTTGACCGTTAGATGCTTCATTATGGTCGGTGTCTGCGATAGGGACAATGCCCCCTTTTGCCGAATCTTTGGTTGGCTCCATGCTCACCGAGCCTTCCTCTGAATTTGGCACACGCACGTCCTTTGCCTTGTCGGGTGATCCTTCCACTGGCGGTGATGCTGGTAGTCCTGTTGGTTTTGGGTCTAAATCCTCCGGTGGTGCGCCCGGTGCCTCTTCCGATTGTTTTCTCAATTCTTCTTCGTTTCCCAGTCCTTCTGGAACCGATATTCCCACTGTAGCTCCCGTACCAGGCGACGGCTCGGTTTGCGGTTTTGGGCATTTATCGGCATCATTTGGTTTTCCAGCGTACTCTTTGCAAATACCCCCAACTTGAGAGTCCTCAGTTTCCTTGAGAATCTTACCGTAGACATCGTTGCAAAGCTCCCTCATCGCATGATGTACACAACAGTTCACAGCTGACTCATTCAACTTCCCGTCCGTCTTACTCGTATTGTCCGTCTCGCATTCGGACTTCAGCAGTTTCTGCCAATTTGAAAGCAATTTCTCACCCGCACTGCCAGCATCATCGGCCGCAATTCCAGACAAACCGCTCCACAGCACGCAGAGGGCACACACCAGCAGCGCACGGCCAGTCATCATCATCGCCATCACTCCTGTCACTTGCGTGTAGTCTTCAGCACAAACTAACACCCCGTCAACGCAGAGTGAAAGCAAAAAGAGAGAGACAAGTCACACAACCCCGCACAGCCAGCAACGCACACACCGCAAGACAGAGGGAATCACTACGATTGCAGAACTCGCACACCCTCCCGCACAACAAAGCCCACAAAAAAAAACATAACAAAAGGAAGTTGACACTCCGACAAGACTTAAACAAAAAAAAAAAAAAACATGAAAATCGATCCAGTAAGAATTTTATTTCATGCGCCAGGTAGCAAAAGAACAGCGTGTCTTCGTGTACACATATTTCCCACACCAACTGAACTAAAAAAGGATCGTACTGTTCCACCAGCCCACACAACATCCCTCACATTACATTGCGGCATCCGGCCTGTTCCTCCAATCCTCCTTTCGTGCAGTCCGTGGGACGCACAGCAATGAGGCCGGCACCGCGTGTGGGCAACAAACAACAAAACAAGTGAGAGAAACACGTCGCTCATGACAGTGTGCAGCAACCGACCATTAAATAAAAAAGGGTGCTTATCATTCCAGGAAGACAGCAGCTAAATTAACAGTAAAATGTAAATAATAAAAGGAAACACGCAGGGAACGCAGCACATGTTCTCCGTGAGGAGTCGCAATTCCACACTCTTCGGCTCACAAGACCGCCACAACTCCACACAATCCCAAAAGAAGCAGCAACGCCCAATACACGCACACACACACAGTGCCGTCAACAGTTAACTCTCGCAGTGTCAATTTCGCGTCGTTGAGCAGGGCAAAGCAGTCGTCGGGACACACACCGTATCCGGAATACTGCGCGGTGAGTTTTTGTAATTGGGGTTTTCGTGTCCAGAGGCATTGCGTTCACTCAGTCCGTCCGCATCAGCCTCAGCAACAAATCCACTGCCTGCAACGCCATTTTCTAAAGAAAGGAGTTTTGTGTCCGGTGGCGTTGCGCTCACTCACCTCGTCCGTGTTATCCGCAGCAACGTGTTCCCTGCCGCCATAAGTGACAGACATGATCCCGGATGCATTCAGCGCCACTAATATTCTCGGACCGTTGGCAAAGGAAGGCCTCTTCTTGGATGCCTTCGGGACCATCACTTCGTTCGGATTGCTGGCAAACTCAGGCCTCGTCTCGGACGTGTTGGTCGCCGTGTTGGATGCGGGACTCCGATCGACGGTGTTGGGTCCGTCAGCCGCGGCGGACTGTCGCCAATCCTCGTGTTGACGTGACGGCTCAGCATTAACTTGCGGCGCAGTTGTCCCACCAGATTTTGTGTCATCCTTCCCTTCACGGGGTGGCGGCAACTGACAGATGACCGTCCGGTCAGCATCGCTGCTCCGTGCAGGCGGATGGATGGTTCCATCGGGAGAAAATTGACGCCACCACAATTCATAAGGACCGGCGTATTTATGTGTCGTCACAGTCATCGTAAAGGCAACGGTGGCCCCTTCCTCTTTCGTTGCACAGCTGGCAGCACAGTTGCTACATGTGTGCACCGCATTGGCCACATGGCACACAGCACCCAGCTCACCATTCCTGCTACGCATGTGCACATCAAAGCCACTGAAAGTATAATTCTCATGCTGAGCCTCAGCAATGGCAGCGGAACACTTCTTCCACGCACACACACACACACGCGATAGCTCAGGCTGCCATCACTCGGAGCACACGACACATCCGCCGCGCGCATCACACCCGCAGGAAAGGAGACTCGGGCTGCGCGCTTCCTCTATCCTCCTTCCTTCTCTTCATGCCCACGGAAGAAGAGAACAGGCGCCACCCACAACCGCCAGCACACGCTACAAAAGAAGCCTCCAAATCGAATGAAATGTGCATTTTGTGCGTGCATGTGGTTGTGTGTGCCTGCAGACACACGAAGCAAAGAAGTAAAAACAGGAGCAGAGCATGTGAAGGGACGCACAAACAAAAACGTACAGCAGAGGTGCATGGCAGAAATAAAGAGAAAAAAAACTGCTCAGGCTCACAATATTGCACTGCAGCCCAAGCAGCGGCAATTCATTAAAAAATCAAATAAAAATAAATAAAAAAAAATTCATCTTCACCTTTCCACACCTCACACTTTGGAAAAAAGAAAAAATGAAAATAATGAAAAAAAAAAAAAATGAAAAAAAGTAGTCCTCTACTAAGGCTACACCCAAATAATAAAAAAAAAAAAAGAAAAAGAAAAAACACAAAAAGCACCTAACTACCACGTTGCTCCAGAAATTGTCTGCATACATTTTGCCCGCAAAAATAAAAATTAAAAGATATTTAAATGCCTTTCAACCGTCTGACCCTCCGTGTGTCCGCACATCGTTTATATTTCATGGGGTCATCTGCGTGTTGCTGCTCCCCTCAGCCCTCTCATCGGCGCGTGAGTGCGGCCCGCAGAGCACAGTCACTCTTCTTGAGTGCATGGGGACTGAGAGAAGCACGCAGACATGACGGCGGTCGCGTCACTCCATCGGGGGAGTGAGCGCAGCAAAAGAAAAATCATCAGAAGGAAGAGAAATGCTCACGAGGCCTACCCCGAAGAGGCTGCCAGCGCAAAAAAAAAAAAAAAAAAACACAGTGAGAAAGTCAAATAAAGCAAGCAAAATTCCTTTTTAAAGCGGCAGGGTGTGGCTGTGTGTGTGTGGCGTTGCGGGTGTCTGCCCGCCCTGGCCGCAAAGAAAACAAAACAAGAGGGAAAGAAATGTGTGCTCCGCCCCACAGGCCCTCGTCGCACGCCCACACGTCACGGCTCCCTCAGCGCGCCGTTCGTCGCGGCCCCTCCTCATGCGTGCAGCAGGCGAGGCGCACAGGGCCGTCGTCATGAGCGTGTCGGTGGGTGTGCGAGTGGAGCAGTTGGGCGGGAACACACGGCACCCCTCACAGGAAGAGTGCAGAAGAAACAATTAAAAGAGGGAAGAGTAGAAAAGAAAAAAGAACGTCCATATAGATTGCCCCCAAAAGCAAAAAAGAGGGTGGGGGATGAAAGATTAGAAATAAAAAAACGCCCAAAGTAAAAGCAACAAACAAACAAAAAAAAAAAAAATAAAGAAAAATAAAAGAATTTTGCAGCAAATAGAAATTAAACTAAAACATTTACCAAAAAACGGTACAAAACAGTTACGGTGCTCCGCCCATGCAGCCAGGCGGGACGGCGGCGGTGCGTGTGGTGCAAAAGAGAGCACCAACGGGCCTGCATGGGTGTGCATGCATATATACAATGGGCACATTATGTGTGTGCTTCGTGGGGTGAGGTGAGGGCGAGAGTCCATGCAAGGGGACACACACAGAGAGTGAGAGAAGGACAAGTGTGTGTGCGGGCGGTGCACGGCTCTCTCTCCCTCACTCTCACGCGGCCACCACCGCAGCCGCAGCCGCACACGCAACAAGAAGAAGCAAAAGAGGGGAGGTGGTGTGGGACACCGCGGTGCTGCCGTCACTGTCGCCAGGCGTCGTCGTGACAGTTTTTATACCCGCAACATGGAGTGCTGTTTCATTGGGATTATTATCTTTATTCTCATCCGTTTTTCCTTCTGTCCCTGCGACATCTGATTCATTTGTATTGTTCGGAATATTTTCTCCAGTGCCCTTTTCCGTTTTGTTGTTAGCATTATCACTGGCATCCGGGGGTGTTGTTGTGGTTGATTCGGCCTGACCGTTAGATGCCTCATTATGGTCGGTGTCTGCGATAGGGACAATGCCCCCTTCTGCCGAATCTTTGATTGGCTCCATGCTCACCGAGCCTTCCTCTGAATTTGGCACACGCACGTCCTTTGCCTTGTCGGGTGATCCTTCCACTGGCGGTGATGCTGGTAGTCCTGTTGGTTTTGGGTCTAAATCCTCCGGTGGTGCGCCCGGTGCCTCTTCCGATTGTTTTCTCAATTCTTCTTCGTTTCCCAGTCCTTCTGGAACCGATACTCCCACTGTAGCTCCCGTACCAGGCGACGGTTCGGTTTGCGGTTTTGGGCATTTATCGGCATCATTTGGTTTTCCAGCGTACTCTTTGCAAATACCCCCAACTTGAGAGTCCTCAGTTTCATTGAGAATCTTACCGTAGACATCGTTGCAAAGCTCCCTCATCGCATGATGTACACAACAGTTCACAGCTGACTCATTCAACTTCCCGTCCGTCTTACTCGTATTGTCCGTCTCGCATTCGGACTTCAGCAGTTTCTGCCAATTTGAAAGCAATTTCTCACCCGCACTGCCAGCATCATCGGCCGCACCACCGCCGGCACCGCACCACAGCACGCAGAGGGCACACACCAGCAGCACACGGCCAGTCATCATCATCGCCATCACTCCTGTCACTTGCGTGTAGCCTTCAGCACAAACTAACACCCCGTCAACGCAGAGTGAAAGCAAAAAGAGAGAGACAAGTCACACAACCCCGCACAGCCAGCAACGCACACACCGCAAGACAGAGGGAATCACTACGATTGCAGAACTCGCACACCCTCCCGCACAACAAAGCCTACAAAAAAAACATAACAAAAGGAAGTTGACACTCCGACAAGACTTAAACAAAACAAAAAAAAACATGAAAATCGATCCAGTAAGAATTTTATTTCATGCGCCAGGTAGCAAAAGAACAGCGTGTCTTCGTGTACACATATTTCCCACACCAACTGAACTAAAAAAGGATCGTACTGTTCCACCAGCCCACACAACATCCCTCACATTACATTGCGGCATCCGGCCTGTTCCTCCAATCCTCCTTTTGTGCAGTCCGTGGGACGCACAGCAATGAGGCCGGCACCGCGTGTGGGCAACAAACAACAAAACAAGTGAGAGAAACACGTCGCTCATGACAGTGTGCAGCAACCGACCATTAAATAAAAAAGGGTGCTTATCATTCCAGGAAGACAGCAGCTAAATTAACAGTAAAATGTAAATAATAAAAGGAAACACGCAGGGAACGCAGCACATGTTCTCCGTGAGGAGTCGCAATTCCACACTCTTCGGCTCACAAGACCGCCACAACTCCACACAATCCCAAAAGAAGCAGCAACGCCCAATACACGCACACACACACAGTGCTGTCAACAGTTAACTCTCGCAGTGTCAATTTCGCGTCGTTGAGCAGGGCAAAGCAGTCGTCGGGACACACACCGTTTCCGGAATACTGCGCGGTGAGTTTTTGTAATTGGAGTTTTCGTGTCCAGAGGCATTGCGTTCACTCAGTCCGTCCGCATCAGCCTCAGCAACAAATCCACTGCCTGCAACGCCATTTTCTAAAGAAAGGAGCTTTGTGTCCGGTGGCGTTGCGCTCACTCACCTCGTCCGTGTTATCCGCAGCAACGTGTTCCCTGCCGCCATAAGTGACAGACATGATCTCGGATGCATCCAGCGCCACTAATATTCTCGGACCGTTGGCAAAGGAAGGCCTCTTCTTGGATGCCTTCGGGACCATCACTTCGTTCGGATTGCTGGCAAACTCAGGCCTCGTCTCGGACGTGTTGGTCGCCGTGTTGGATGCGGGACTCCGATCGACGGTGTTGGGTCCGTCAGCCGCGGCGGACTGTCGCCAATCCTCGTGTTGACGTGACGGCTCAGCATTAACTTGCGGCGCAGTTGTCCCACCAGATTTTGTGTCATCCTTCCCTTCACGGGGTGGCGGCAACTGAAAGATGCCCGTCTGCTCAGCATCGCTGCTCCGTGCAGGCGGATGGATGGTTCCATCGGGAGAAAATTGACGCCACCACAATTCATAAGGGCCGGCGTATTTATGTGTCGTCACATTCATCGTGAAGGCAACGGTGGCCTCTTCCTCTTTCGCTGCACAGCTGGCAGCACAGTTGCTACATGTGTGCACCGCATTGGCCACATGGCACACAGCACCCAGCTCACCATTCCTGCTACGCATGTGCACATCAAAGCCACTGAAAGTATAATTCTCATGCTGAGCCTCAGCACTGGCAGCGGAACACCTCTTCCACGCCCACACACACACACACACGCGATAGCTCAGGCTGCCGTCACTCGGAGCACACGACACATCCGCCGCGCGCATCACACCCGCAGAAAAGGAGACTCGGGCTGCGCGCTTCCTCCTCCTTCCTTCTCTTCATGTCCACGGAAGAAGAGAACAGGCGCCACCCACAACCGCCAGCACACGCTACAAAAGAAGCCTCCAAATCGAATGAAATGTGCATTTTGTGCGTGCATGTGGTTGTGTGTGCCTGCAGACACACGAAGCAAAGAAGTAAAAACAGGAGCGGAGCATGTGAAGGGACGCACAAACAAAAACGTACAGCAGAGGTGCATGGCGGAAATAAAGAGAAAAAGACTGCTCAGGCTCACAATATTGCACTGCAGCCCAAGCAGCGGCAATTCATTAAAAAATTAAATAAAAATAAATAAAAAAAAATTCATCTTCATCCTTCCACACCTCACACTTTGGAAAAAACAAAAAATGAAAATAATGAAAAAAAAAAAAAAAATGAAAAAAAGTCGTCCTCTACTAAGGCTACACCCAAATAAAATAAAAAAAAAAAAAGAAAAAGAAAAAACACACACAAAAAAGCACCTAACTACCACGTTGCTCCAGAAATTGTCTGCATACATTTTGTCCGCAAAAATAAAAATTAAAAGATATTTAAATGTCTTCCAACCGTCTGACCCTCTGTGTGTCCGCACATCGTTTATATTTCACGGGATCATCTGCGTGTTGCTGCTCCCCTCAGCCCTCTCATCGGCGCGTGGGTGCGGCCCGCAGAGCACAGTCACTCTTCTTGTGTGCATGGGGACTGAGAGAAGCACGCAGACATGACGGCGGTCGCGTCACTCCATCGGGAGAGTGAGCGCAGCAAAAGAAAAAATCATCAGGAGGAAAAGAAATGCTCACGAGGCCTACCCCGAAGAGGCTGCCAGCGCAAAAAGAAAAAAAAAAAAACAGTGAGAAAGTCAAATAAAGCAAGCAAAATTCCTTTTTAAAGCGGCAGGGTGTGGCTGTGTGTGTGGCGCTGCGGGTATCTGCCCGCCCTGGCCACAAAGAAAACAAAACAAGAGGGAAAGAAATGTGTGCTCCGCCCCACAGGCCCTCGTCGCACGCCCACACGTCACGGCTCCCTCAGCGCGCCGTTCGTCGCGGCCCCTCCTCATGCGTGCAGCAGGCGAGGCGCACAGGGCCGTCGTCATGAGCGTGTCGGTGGGTGTGCGAGTGGAGCAGTTGGGCGGGAAACACACGGCACCCCTCACAGGAAGAGTGCAGAAGAAACAATTAAAAGAGGGAAGAGTAGAAAAGAAAAAAGAACGTCCATATTGATTGCCCCCGAAAGCAAAAAAAAAGAGGGTGGGGGATGAAAGATTAGAAATAAAAAAACGCCCAAAGTAAAAGCAACAAACAAACAAAAAAAAATAAAAAAATAAAAATAAAAGAATTTTGCAGCAAATAGAAATTAAACTAAAACATTTACCAAAAAACGGTACAAAACGGTTACAGCGCTCCGCCCATGCAGCCAGGCAGGACGGCGGCGGTGCGTGTGGTGCAAAAGAGAGCACCAACGGGCCTGCATGGGTGTGCATTCATATATACAATGGGCACATTATGTGTGTGCCTCGTGGGGTGAGGTGAGGGCGAGAGTCCATGCAAGGGGACACACACACAGAGAGTGAGAAGGACGAGTGTGTGTGCGGGCGGTGCACGGCTCTCTCTCCCTCACTCTCACGCGGCCACCACCGCAACCGCAGCCGCACACGCAACAAGAAGAAGCAAAAGAGGGGAGGTGGTGTGGAAGACCGCGGTGCTGCCGTCACTGTCGCCAGGCGTCGTCGTGACAGTTTTTATACCCGCAACATGGAGTGTTGTTTCATTGGGATTATTATCTTTATTCTCATCCGTTTTTCCTTCTGTTCCTGCGACATCTGATTCATTTGTATTGTTCGGAATATTTTCTCCAGTGCCCTTTTCCGTTTTGTTGTTAGCATTATCACTGGCATCCGGGGGTGTTGTTGTGGTTGATTCGGCCTGACCGTTAGATGCTTCATTATGGTCGGTGTCTGCGATAGGGACAATGCCCCCTTTTGCCGAATCTTTGGTTGGCTCCATGCTCACCGAGCCTTCCTCTGAATTTGGCACACGCACGTCCTTTGCCTTGTCGGGTGATCCTTCCACTGGCGGTGATGCTGGTAGTCCTGTTGGTTTTGGGTCTAAATCCTCCGGTGGTGCGCCCGGTGCCTCTTTCACGATTGTTTTCTCAATTCTTCTTCGTTTCCCAGTCCTCT